GGATCACACCTACATCTAAAACACTTCTCGACTGTGTACTAACGAACATGGATTGTGTTGAGCACGGAAGCGTTCACTCCTGTGAGTTCACCGATCATGAGTTTGTTCACACCAGTATTATTTTTCCGAAGTCAATTCCAACACAAGGACAAATATATCGATCCCGCCACCGTGATTACAGTAAGGCCTCTGCCTCTGATCTCTCTCATTTATTGTCAATTTCTGATCTCGGATCCTTCTCGTCCCCGTCGGTCGATGTAATGCTAGAAGAGTGGCAAGGAAAATTTGAAGACGCCTTGGATGTGATTGCACCCTACATAATATCACGGAGACAATCCCCTGGAAAAAGGAAGAAGTGCCCATTCATGACACCGGAATTACTAGCTCTCATTAGGCGACGTAAAACCGTCTACAGAAAGTACCGCTCGTCTGACTGCAGTAGTACGGTTCTACAGAAGGAGTTCAAAGTTTTGCGCAGCAAATGCAATAACCTTTATCGCCAACTCCGAAATGCCCACTTCCGCTCCATCTGTGACGATTACCGGCGAGATCCTAGGCGTCTTTGGAGCACCATCAACTCAGTCACCCGGCGCACAAACCCAAGAACTGAACCTCTCGTCCAGGCAGATACCTTGAACAGGTATTTCCATAGTATTGTGTCAGATCCGAACCCGGCTTATGTTGTTCCAAGTGGTACCTCAAGACCGTGTGACTTGCACGAGTTTCGCCCTATTTCCAAGGATGAGGTACTTCGGCACCTTCAGAAACTCGACGGTACGAAAGCGCCTGGGCCAGATGGTCTCCTCCCGAGCATCCTGAAGGCCGTTGCACCAGTTATCGCCTTCTCCCTCACCCTAATATTTAATACCTCTTTGTGCACTGCTGTGTTCCCGACACAATTCAAGTTGGCTAATGTCACGCCGATATTGAAATCCCGTAAGGGCGATCCTACTTCTCCTTCGAACTATCGTCCTGTGTCACTCACGTCGATTCTGGCTAAGACTCTGGAACGCCTGGTTCTAAATCAGGTATGTGACAGTTTGACCATCGAAAATCACCTCCACGATCACCAATTTGGGTTCCGACCAGCTCGTTCCACGACACAACTGCTCACACTTGCTGTAAATGATTGGAAACTGGCCCAGGACCGCGGAGAGACTACCAGTGTAGCCTTTGTCGACCTCAGCAAGGCGTTTGATCGCGTCCAGCATCAACAGTTACTCGTTGCGCTCCATGGCATGGGTGTTCATGCAAGCGCCCTGCGTTGGTTTGCGTCGTACCTCGCCGGGAGATCTCAGCGTGTCGTCACGCAAGCCAGCCAGTCTTCAAGTCTTGCAGTGTCTCGAGGAGTTCCTCAGGGAAGTATTTTAGGCCCTACCCTCTTTAATGTCTACCTGAGGGACCTTCCCCGGCTTGCGGAGACAGCGGGTTCAAAACTACTGATGTTCGCAGATGACAAGACAGTCTACTCTAGTGATCCGTCGAAGGCGCGTTCCGAAGCCAAGTTGTCATCGGCACTGGAGATACTAAACCACCACCTTGGCTCCATTGGTATGCAGATAAATACCGACAAAACCGTTGTCATGCAAATCCATCCCAAACGTGCCACAGGGAGTCAGCAACAACAACAAAGGCAACAACTGCAAATCACCTTGTCAAATGTTACGCTAGGGGAAGTGGAAAGCACCAGATGCTTAGGAGTCGTTGTTGACAATAAGCTAGCTGTCCTTTGACCAACACATTAACAATGTCGTCCGGAAAGCCTCACGGAAGATCGGTGTACTGCGTCGATCTTTCCGCCAGATGAACCTGTTTGCCCGCCGTACTTTCGTTGTCGGTGTTATTCAGCCTGATCTAGAATATGCTCTCCCTGTATACCTTTCGTTTATATCCGCTAAAAATAGAAACAAGCTAGCCTCACTCCACCGGCGCGCTGTACGAGTTGCTTGCGGCGCATCACCCCAAGCTAATATCACGCCACTTCTTCACCACCTCAATGTTTCCTCTTTCCAATATCGATCAGTATTTTTGTTCCTTGTATTCATTTTCCACTGTTACTGTATTAAGCCGGCTGTTTGCTTGCAGTCCCTCTTTCCCATCTGTACGTCTACCCGAACTACTCGCGGCTCTACAACTCATAACATGAGTATCAATCGCTATAGATCTATGTCTGGCTTTCTGTCCTTTTCAAGTAAATCGGCTCTTGTTTGGAATTATTTACCAGACGACCTGAAGTCCTGCACTACTATCGCAGATTTCCGCGTCAAATTGGCTATTTGGCTAAAAGACAGCTTAACTCTTAATCATTGTTGTGATTTGCTTTCACGCAATGTGCATAATCAGTAACTTGATGTTGCTGTTTTTGTTTTTTTTTTGTTTTTTTTTGGTTTCCCGTTCTCGGGGCCTTCTATTCGGTACTCTTTGTAGTTGTACTTCTGTACTGTTGAGCTATCCGAATTCAAATAAACATTTAAAAAAAAAAAAAAAAAAGTGCTACTGTACAATTTCTCTTGGTCAGTGCAAGCTGGGGACGCTACGGGTACGGGATTCTACTACTCCCGTCAGTTGAGCAACTTCTACTTGCAAGGATACAATGGGGTCTGTCTTGCTCGTTCGAAGACATTCTATTTCTGAAGCCATACCTTTTATGGTCTCGTTAAGCAGCTGGAAAGTGGAGAGCAGGTCGCTTACCATTTGGTCTGGTGACTTCCGTATTCCTACTCCTTCCTTGCGAAGGGCAACAACCAAGTCTTGTCGGCCCATTGTCTCTGGGTTGGTCAGTCCTGTAGCTCGGGCAGCTGTGAGCAGCTCCTCGTATGTCAGCAGAGCTAAGTCCATATCTTCGTTAGTCGCCATATTATTGAGTCATACATCAACACTAGAACAAATCAGTGTAGGTGCGGTCCTGCCGAAGGCAGCTACATCGGTGAAACAAACTCGACCGCGGAGCGCAGAAACTTGCATCCGCACTCTAGATGCAAGATCACGTTTGTTCTTAGCTGCTGAGCTTGTAAGAACAATTACTTGCAGAATGTGCTAAGCCGTAACAACACTCACGTTACGGCTTAGACTATGTATGTTGCAGTAAAATCCAAAAACTACACGCAAAAATTCAGTCACTTTTGCACCAACTGTTGTACCGAAAAAATTACTGTTGGTGGCGCAAGCAGATGCTTGTCGTTTGGAGTGACAAGTGATCACCGCTGCTTTTCCTTGCCAGAGTCAACAATACACTTTGTTCTGCAGCGTTGGGAGTGGTGTTGGAGTAGAAATTGCTGACTAGACGTCGCGGAAGGGCGAGCTTTCCTGCGCAGGTATGAGTTTGGACGTATTTCAGAATGGTCGAGTGGAAAAATTCAAAAATTGTATATTTCAAGAAAAACCAAAAAGGATGATGGGGGACATGTCCTCAGTGCTAGAAGAGCTGTTCTACTATCTGCCGGTGTATAGTGTTTGCTAATTGATGATGTAGCTCGCTGTTTTATGAGCGCTTGTAATTTGGCTATTTTCAAGACGATCATTTGTGGCCTCAAGGGATGATTGCCCTCGTCTTCTGGGATGCTGGCGTGGCTAAGTGGTGCTGCCCCAAGAACTCTTCTAAGGTGAGGTAATGTTGGCTTGATGGATTTTTGCTGGTAGCTTGTTCTTGTACGCTGTGCCGTGGCTCGTTTGTAGACCCATAAATCGTGCCAATATTGGGCCAATATTGAGGGTATACCAATTTCATGGTTCACTTCAAAAGATTTTGTGCGGGCTTTGGAATGTCGATCTACACCCCAAAGCAAACCTACCTGCAAAATTTGAGCGAAATCTGAGAGACAGACTTGCACATATATTCTGGTTTTCTCAGACATGCTCTCTTAAGCGCCTGCCAAAGTTTGTGGCGTCTTGCACATGCATGATTGTTATTGCAGGCAAGCCGCAATATCATTATCATCCTTTCACACAGCCTTGCTTGCTTTCCTGCCATATCATATTTCTTTTCTCACTCACGGACCATGTGAGTTTGGCACATTTTCCACCCAGGACCTTTCGCACCCACCAGACCTCAAACCTTCACAGATTCCTTCCTATGCCACTTTATAAATACATTACTAGCTGTGCATCACTGTTATCAGTTGTCTGAAGATTGCCATCTGGCATGAAACTTTTAGTTTCGACAATCCAGACGCGTGGTACTCTGTGACTCATGTCCAACAAAGACGTATATACCCGCTGCAATGCCGAGCCAATATCCGTACTAAGCAGAAGAGCACGGTGGAAACTGTATGGCCATATTCTACGCCTCCCTGAAGCATCTCCAGCGCATGTGAGCATGACCGCGTATTTCCAGCGACAGAACCGGGGCTGGCTGGGACGCCCGCGCATCACACTACCAGTGGTGATAGACAATGAATTAGCCAAGGCAACGTCCATGCCTCTCCGGAGTCTGAAGGACCTGGAGACGCTCCGATTGATGGCTCGGAACAAGCAATCATTTAACGATATATTCGCACAGGTCACATTGTAGAGTCCAGATAACCTAGTGCTTTCAACAATAATTGTACATGTACTTTCAATTATGAGAATTTGGTATACCCCCAAACCCGTCATTGTTGAATATTCGATAATAGCGTGGATTTCCCAAACTATATATTTTATAAGAAAGAAAAAGGACCAAAGAGCTAAAAAATGAAATGAACTAAGAGCTAAAAATAATCTACGTGGAGATAATAATTTTAATATAGCTATGAATAGGATGAAGGCCGCAGACATCACGCAACTACTTTACTTGTTCGACATGTATTTACTGTGTATTTTATAACAAAAATATTATTGAAAACCCATAATCGATTTTCTTGTTCCTATCATCAGTGGGAAAAATATGGAACTAAGGATACAACCAAAGAAACTGAAGTTAAGTACTGTAAATAGAAATGTGTTAGAAATAACAACAAAATACAAGTGCAATAAAACCACTAGAGGAAACGCAAAAAGGTAACAAGATTTCGTAACCAAAGGCGAGAATGCGCTAAACGAAGTGTCAACCTACGAATACAACTTCCGTGTACCGGTTTTGTGGCACAATGATTATAGCAATTTGTCGTCTCCATTCTTGTGCAATCATGTATATGCAGGTTGGTTCTCTTCATGTTATTGTCACCCATTTCATAGATGTTGGTTGCCTTGTTGCTTTCTCTCCCCTCTCCTCTCACCCAAGCCATTCTGCATAAGCGAAGGTGTGGACGCAGCATACTGCTGCTACACGTCAACGCGGGAATGCGTATAATAATAAATAATAATAACCTCTCCAATGCCGTTGTACATAAGCGGATTGCCACGGATATGTCAATACTACTACTAAGTTGCAGAAATGAAATTGAAAAGACGAAAGTCCACAGCGAAAGATATCGCTTAAAAGTGCAAAGTAGGCAACACTGGTAGAAGATGACATCCTTTCTGTGAGTAAATAGATTTTATTTCGCCGGTTCTAACTTACAGAAACTGAAGGACAGGCAATAGTTATTAATTTCAGTTAAAGTCAGCTAGGGGTAGCCGATGTGCCAGACCACTGTAGGGTGATTGTAAACGGCTAAGTCGTCGGGCAGAGACCATTCCGAATAGCCGTCGTAACAGCATTTAGATCGCCAGCCACAGCAGGTGGTAATGTGGGTAGACTAATCGGTGAATCTGTAGGCTCAGCTCCACCACAAACGAGGGGCTCATCCAGTGTGCAAATCTGTATAAACAAAAACAGTACAAAAGACATACTGTATGGTCACCTAGTACCCCGACCTCTTTCTCTTTCTTATGTGAACACGCTCTGCACTCTGCGAATTCATAATTTCCTGCCCGTTTTACAAACCTGCCTTTGTAAAGAGGACAAGATAACATCAACCCGAGTCACAGGAAATGACAACTAAGTGTATTATTATATTTTATTGCCAGAATTGTACAGAATTGTTGCGTATGCGCTGCTCTTTATCATTGCCAATTTATGATGTATCGGAAGTAGCAGTTCTGAAAATTGCAATTCTGTTAGGATAGAGGTTCCTAGTTTGATACCTGTTTTTTACGGGCAGTTTCTTCTGGGCAGATCTCCCCCTTTCCATTGCCTTTACTACTGATCATTACAAAATTTGTTTGTGAATATTATTCACAATACGTTGCATATCATTTTGTGTAGCACTTTGGACGTCCAGAAAGACGTTTTCAGCCGCCCTCTAGGCTTTCGTGCTCTGGAAAGCACCTGCAAAATCATTCGCTCGAAAGACAGCGAAATATATAATTTCTTGACGGAAGGATCGCTTGAAAAAAATTATAGAGCACGAGCGATTAGAAAATTGGGCAGCTAGATCTTGAGCGATACTAAACCGGCTGAAATAGTCCACAGCAAGAACAATTCAGTAAAAGGGATGAAGTTTCGCTCAGATGACAAGTCATCAGCGGAGCCAGCTGAGGAGATGAGTTTGAGAGCTCTATTACGCGAAGAGGCGAGGGGGAAAGCAGCACTGAGATCGCAGAAAGAGATTCAGTACTCCGTCGCAACTACTTGCAGCTGGATGAATTGGTGAGACACGGGTACAGTCAAGTATGAATTAAACCTTGCTTTATTACAATATTTAACTTGAATACTGAGCCAACGAGAGAGCTTGGAAGCTCAGGGCCCTACGCTATGCTTTTTTGTCTTGATGAAATAGACAAAAAAGAATAGGGATGTTATAAATTCTTATAAGTTTCTACTTTTTGTTTTTAGACATATTAAACCTGGGATTCGATCCCGCACTATCGCCCTGCATGCATCCCCCGATACATTTCGCATACATACTAATTCTTCAGTTGCTTCACTTTATGATCTTGTATTTGAAAGCCCTATTTGAATATGCATTGTGGCCAGCCGTCTTTGATTGTACGGTACGGTACGGGATAGGTATGGGACAGGTACGGGACAGGTACGGGACAGGTACGGTGGAGGGTAATACGACACCGTCTACCACCTTGATGATTTAAAAAAAAAATATTTTATTTTGTAAAATAGAAAAGGACATATGGATACGAGTTTAGAGTAACTCTCCATCACTGTAACATGATACTATATACAGTCAGAAAGTGCAATAACTCGGCACAAAGTTAAAGGACGTCGAATGTCTCAGTACTCTGTCAGTTTTGTGCCGAGTTATTGCACTTTCTGACTGTATATAGTATCATGTTACAGTGATGGAGAGTTACTCTAAACTCGTATCCATATGTCCTTTTCTATTTTACATTTATTTATGGCTCAACATCCGAGTTTCAAATATTTTATTTTATTATTTATTTATGGATTCCCCAAAGGCCGAGGCCTAAGTATCCGTTCATGGCTTGCTGGGAATATAATTATCTGCAAAATTATAACATATAGATTGAGAAGAGGAAGCGTTATAACAAATGCATACTGTAGAAATCAGCCATACCATTCTTTACTATGATATAGAAACTCTGGAAGGAATGAAACCAGCGGGTTCGAAGCGAGTGTTGGCAAAGATGGTACACGAGACACAAAGCAATGACTATTTTGGGTGGTTCTAATGTCAGTGGGGAGAGAATTCCAGGTGGCAGCGGTAACAAAGAGGAAGGTGGCACGCGAGTAGCTGCTCGCCCTGGCAGGCGGTACAAGTTGGAGAGGGCGCCGCGCGCTGGTGGAGAGACTATAGCCCAGCTCCATAAGGGCAGTGGTCTGGTGGTGGGCCAGGTGATGGAGCTCCCGGATGCACTGGACGTGTCGCCGCCATGCCAGACTGGACCATTGCAGGTGCGCGAACAGAGATGCCTTCGGTTCAGTAGCGGAGGGAAACACACCATACTGTCTCAAGACGATGCGTGCCAATCTGGCCTGCAGACGCTCAAGCACCGCCGCTTGGGATGCGGACAGTTGGAACTGCCACAGTGGCGAGGCGTATTCGATGGTGGGTCGGACATAACCAGTATAAAGCCGGTTTGCAACTTCCGGCGTTAAAAAAAAAGAGAAAAAGGGATGTTTCCTATTTTTTTCAGGCGTTACCTGGGATTCGAACCCGCGCTATCGCGCTACATGCATTCCCCCATGCACTTCGCATTCATACTCATTCTTCCAAGTTGCTTCACGTTATGATCTTGCGTTTGAAAGCCCTCTTTGAATAGTGCGACCAGATGTATGTGGCCAGCTGTGTTTGATGGTACGGTACGGTACGGGACAGATACGGGATAGCGCCAGGCGTGACACAAACACACAAACACACAAACACCAAATTAAAGCTGTGTGGACCCTGGCTAGCGCCAGACGTTACTGAAGTAACATCTTCTGCATAGCTACGGGAATAAATATAATTAATATAGAGAAAAAAATCACATAGAAACGAATTATGACGCAACTATCCACGATTGTTACCAGATAATAAGCAGTCAGAAAGTGCGATACCAGGGCACAAGTAGTTTCAAACGACGTATGTTTCGCCGTACTAAAGACCGTTAGCAAGCGGTGGAACGGCAACACGAAGCGGGATCTCGATTAGAGTCTCGTCCCGACCACGTAAAACATACACGTATTTGACGAGTTCGGAGGCTTCTATTCATCGTGACGGCAACAGGTTCGTTTCAGTCAAGTACGTGCGATTTAAACCATGATACGAAGAATATCAGCGTAAATCATGCCTCTTTTTGTGTGCAATTTTTCTTAAATATCGAAAATGTTTCATCCATTCTTGTTGGAGTAAATAATATAATAATTATGATGACGAAACGTACCAAACAACCAGTAGGACCGTTGATTTTGGCATAATCATTAGGAGAGCATGTCTAAGAAAACCAGAAAAGCTGGGCTGGCTGGGCCATCTCTCAGATTTCGCTCAAATTTTGCAAGTAAGTTTTCTTTTGGGTCTACAACAACCATGCAAAAGGACTCGTTCCATAACTGACGGACACCTTGGAATTGGAGACCACCTCCAAATGGGCACAAAACACGACTGAATATTGGGTCCAAAAACGAGCGCTGGTGCAGCGTACACGATTGAGCTGAGAACAAACCACCACCATGCCAACATTACCTCACCTGAGTAGTCTTCACATCGCCACCACATACAGCCATGGCTACATCCAGGAAAGCAATGGCCATCATCTGCAAATATCACGCGCAAATTCATTCACCGTATTAAGCTTCAACTTGCTCCTCCTCATGCACTTGCGCATTTAAGCTGGTTCAATAATAGCTCGCGTACTAAGTGTTCTCTCCATTTCCCACTTGCCAGATCATCGATCCTTTTAAAATCCCCTCTGTTCAAGTCCTATTCTCATTGGTCTCGGCTTCCGCAGGAGGTAAAGTCTCGTGACACCTTCGCTGCATTTTGTTCCATTCTGCCCGCGCCTAAGTTGAATTGAATTGAATTCGTTGTTTTCCATTGCTAGCCTAACCTTCATACTGCTCTCTTCAGGTTCCTATAGTACTCCTTTTGTTTTGTTTTGTTTTCCCTTTTTCTTCTCCTTCTTTTTCTCAGTTGTCCCCACCATGGCTGGTTAAAATCGCCCGCATCACATGCTTATTGGCACTATGTCATCGTGATTGTGGAATAATAAAAATAAAAACAATAATGGATCAGTTGGGGAAGTGAACTGTCTGAAAAGAGAAAAAATCGCCAGACCCACCAGGACTCGAACCCGGGACCTTGCTTGTCATGAGCAATGCTCTAACCACTGAGCTATGGGACCGGGCTGAGCCTAGAAGGCGCTGACAAGATTTTCACTCCAAAGGCAGCTCACAACACGTGCCACACATACTGATGGCACTTGGGTCTTTCTCCCTCCCCCAGGGGACCAACCACGGTCAGTTTCTGGACCCTACCAGAAGTGAAAGAGAGTGATAAATTTTGAACGGATTGGGAGAACTTCAAATTCAATGGATCAGTTGGGGAAGTGAACTGCCTGAAAAGAGAAAAAATCGCCAGACCCACCAGGACTCGAACCCGGGACCTTGCTTGTCATGAGCAATGCTCTAACCACTAAGCTATGGGACCGGGCTGAACCTAGAAGGCGCTGACAAGATTTTCACTCCAAAGGCAGCTCACAACACGTGCCACACATACTGATGGCACTTGGGTCTTTCTCCCTCCTCCAGGGGACCAACCACGGTCAGTTTCTGGACCCTACCAGAAGTGAAAGAGAGTGATAAATTTTGAACGGATTGGGAGAACTTCAAATTCAATGGATCAGTTGGGGAAGTGAACTGCCTGAAAAGAGAAAAAATCGCCAGACCCACCAGTACTCGAACCCGGGACCTTGCTTGTCATGAGCAATGCTCTAACCACTGAGCTATGGGACCGGGCTGAGCCTAGAAGGCGCTGACAAGATGTTCACTCCAAAGGCAGCTCACAACACGTGCCACACATACTAATGGCACTTGGGTCTTTCTCCCTCCCCCAGGGGACCAACCACGGTCAGTTTCTGGACCCTACAAGAAGTGAAAGAGAGTGATAAATTTTGAACGGATTGGGAGAACTTCAAATTCAATGGATCAGTTGGCTGTGGGTCTGGCGATTTTTTCTCTTTTCAGGCAGTTCACTTCCCCAACTGATCCATTGAATTTGAAGTTCTCCCAATCCGTTCAAAATTTATCACTCTCTTTCACTTCTGGTAGGGTCCAGAAACTGACCGTGGTTGGTCCCCTGGGGGAGGGAGAAAGACCCAAGTGCCATCAGTATGTGTGGCACGTGTTGTGAGCTGCCTTTGGAGTGAAAATCTTGTCAGCGCCTTCTAGGTTCAGCCTGGTCACATAGCTCAGTGGTTAGAGCATTGCTCATGACAAGCAAGGTCCCGGGTTCGAGTCCTGGTGGGACTGGCGATTTTTTCTCTTTTCAGGCAGTTCACTTCCCCAACTGATCCATTGAATTTGAAGTTCTCCCAATCCGTTCAAAATTTATCACTCTCTTTCACTTCTGGTAGGGTCCAGAAACTGACCGTGGTTGGTCCCCCGGGGGAGGGAGAAAGACCCAAGTGCCATCAGTATGTGTGGCACGTGTTGTGAGCTGCCTTTGGAGTGAACATCTTGTCAGCGCCTTCTAGGTTCAGCCCGGTCCCATAGCTCAGTGGTTAGAGCATTGCTCATGACAAGCAAGGTCCCGGGTTCGACTCCTGGTGGGTCTGGCGATTTTTTCTCTTTTCAGGCAGTTCACTTCCCCAACTGATCCATTGAATTTGAAGTTCTCCCAATCCGTTCAAAATTTATCACTCTCTTTCACTTCTGGTAGGGTCCAGAAACTGACCGTGGTTGGTCCCCTGGGGGAGGGAGAAAGACCCAAGTGCCATCAGTATGTGTGGCACGTGTTGTGAGCTGCCTTTGGACTGAAAATCTTGTCAGCGCCTTCTAGGTTCAGCCCGGTCCCATAGCTCAGTGGTTAGAGCATTGCTCATGACAAGCAAGGTCCCGGGTTCGAGTCCTGGTGGGTCTGGCGATTTTTTTTCTTTTCACGCAGTTCACTTCCCCAACTGATCCATTGAATTTGAAGTTCTCCCAATCCGTTCAAAATAATAATAATAATAATGTGTGGATTCACAGGAAGTGTGAGTTACGAAGTCTGAAGAAAATGTTGAACGGCCTCTGCTGGGATGACGACTACACCATAGCTCAGTGGTTAGAGCATCGCTGGCTACAAGCGAGGGTCCCTGGTTCGAGTCCTGGTGGTGACAGTCAATTTTTTCTTCAGACTTTTCCCGTTTGTCTCTTTCCCTCAAACCAGTTCATATTTTATGACTTGGGGCTCCCCGCGTGCTAGTTTGTACGTGAAGTGTGTGGGTTACAGTGAGGGCTGCGTCCCACCCGCCTGCATACTGACCAACCCCCCAAATGACAATCCCTTGACAAGACATGCTAATTCCCTTGATTTCAGCTAAAATCCCTGGATACACCAAAAAAGCAGGGGAAAAGGCGTTTGCCCTGATCGGATGTCTATGCCGATACAGGACGCATGGTTTTTCACATAAACCAGACCACGAATGAAAAAAAACACACACACACACACACAACCAATAGGCTGAGGCAATAAAGAGAAAAAAACACAGATCAGGACTTACAGGAGTACATGCAAAAGCACATGTGGGGCCTGAACTCCCAACGGAAAGAGAAAACAATGGCAGATATAGGCCACTGAAAGAGAATAGAAAAAAAGAGAAAAACCCAAGCAGAACTAAACCACAAGAAAAAGCAATTAGGCCAAACGGAACGTGGGACCTGAACTCCCACTAGAAAACAACAGCAATACAAAAAGATCAGGACTTGAAAAGAAAAGAGTGCAGCAAAATCAACCTGGATGCGAACCAGTGATCACACAAGGAAACAGAAAAGCATATGGGGCCTGAACTCCCACCACAAGAAAAATCAATATCAGGACTTAGAAGCAAAAGAGACACAAGTAATCACAGCAGATCGGCAGAGGCTGCATCCTCATCAACAGCATTCGCTGGCAACCTGGCATCTGCGGGCTGAAGACTGGCCGTTGTGGCTTTCTTGGCACGACTTAGAAATTGGGGGCTCAACAGTGAGGCACTCTGATGGCAAGGGACCGGGTGGTTGTACTTACAACTGATGAGGTTGCTTGTGGTCTCTGGCTTCAGGTGGCTTCGTTGACTTGTCTCGATTTTTTTCACCATACTGAATAAACGCTCCGGATCAGCATTTGAATGTGGCAGAACCAAAGCCACCTTCGCTAGCTTGCTCAGGTTTGCGAATCGACGGTGGGTGCTGTCTTCGGGACGAGTCAACTTACTCAAAGCAGACCAGAACTGATCGAGATTTTCTCCGCGAGGTGGCAGCACATCATCTGGCAAGCTCTTGAAGTCGAGCAGCTCAGTGAGGATGGCATCAATGTCCTCGGGTGACTGCTCTTTCAGGAGCCTGCGGCACAGGTTGGTTACAGCAGCGGATGAAATTGACGAACGGCTAGTCGGGTTGAGGAATGAAAGAGCACGGATGGTAGCATCATTCAAAGGGAACTTGTCAAGCATCTTCTTAATGCAGGCTTCATAGAAGCCCCTCACACCATCTCACAGTTTACGTTCGACGTTAGGATCCTGCTCATCTTCCACCTCGATCAGTGCCAGCCTTGCCTGGGTGCCAATACCGAGCTCGGAATCGGAGAGCTGGTTGCTGCGATTCGCATATTCAATCTTCGGCAGATCTTCACTGCGGCAATCTTGGATGATGCAGGCATCCACAAAGTTGGCGAGGTAAGACCGAAGCAGAGAGAGGAAGTCTGCCTGCATGGTACCGACCCGGCTAGCATTTGTCTGGCACAAAGTAGTGAATTTGTTCAGCGGCTCCAGAGCAAAGAGGACGAACTGGCACACAAGCTTACTTAGCGGTGAGTCCATCAGCTTGAGCACACGCTTGAGCCTGTCGTTTCGCGGCTCAATGTCCCGCTGCTGGTCGAAGAAGGCATAGAGAGCATCCCATTGGTCGAGGAGGCGCTTGAGGCAACGCTTCATGCTCAGCCAACGGGTTGTCGAGTGTTTCAGGACACGAACCGGCTGCAGCTCGCCGAAATCCCGCTGAATATCAGCAAACATCTCCCACCGCTTCGCTGAATGTTTGAAATAGTAAAATACGTCGATCAGCAGGTCGTCCACTGACACTGGGAGACGCTTGAGGGCAGCAGCAGCACAGAGGTTGGCCAGGTGGCAAATACAACCCAGGCTGAACACGTTTGGAGCAACCTCCTTCACACGACTCAACACCGAATTGCGTCGTCCCACCATCACGCTGGCGCTGTCACTGCAGAAGCCAACCACATTCGCCGAAGGTATGTCATGGCATTGCAGTTCCTTGTGGATCGCCTGGAACAGGGACTCTCCTGTGGCGATGTTGCAAACAGGCATGGACAAAAATCGGGTGACGGCTTGCTCATACGCATCATCCCAGTAACGGACCATAATTCCGAAGTACTTCCTGTCCATGTCATCATTGCCACCATCACACAGGATTGTGAACGGAGAGGTTCGACAGGCAGAAAAGACTACTTCGTTCAGCTCCGGAGCTGAGCGTTGTTGATAATTGCAGCCGTTTTTGTACGACTACACGCAAATGATGCGGCGATCTTGCTATCAGGAAACATCACTTTGACGAGCTTGCTG